TGGAAACATCTGACTTAACCCTCACTACAAGTCGACACGACTCCACCTTTAAAAATTATTTGCGGGTGGAAAAAGCTAGCTAAAACAATATACGTACTAACAATCAACTTATATTAAAAATTAAAAGAAAAGACAAAAAAAAAAAAAAAGACGTGAGCTACCCCACCCAAAGGCAATGTTAGCAACAATACAACTAACCCCCGTTAGTGGCTACTAATCAACCAAACTTACTAATTATTTAATAAAAAATCAAGGAGCTAACCAAGGGAAAGTGGAAACTGCTTTTATTGAGCACCTCAAGCTCAACAAATTTCCTCTTAACCCTGGAACTTTCCATACCATATGTTATTTTTTAGTAGTAGAACTCTTTTTTTTTTTTGCACGCAATTAATTATGAATATATGTCCTGTTTTGTTCTTGACTCTGGAACCTCCTTAACGAGGTCTTTGCAACAAAGTAGAAATTGTTGAAAATTGTTTGCGGGTTTACAGTTACCGGGCCTAAAACAAAACAATTTGAGGTTCAAGGTGCCAAAAGAACTGTACACTACCAATAACAGTAGTTTGTGGTCCTTAACCAAAAGAATATAGTGGGAAAATCCACAAAATCATGGAGATAATGATTCCACACCTTCTTTTTCTCCAAAAATGAAATAGGATTCCCTCCCTCTCTCTCTCTCTCTCTCTCTCTCCATCCTCCCCCTTTTTCTTTCCCATGTGCTCTTTTTCCTCTCCTTATAGCAACAGGTCGTCCTCTCATTATCCTATTTGTCTCCGACCCCTCTCAACCCTAATCTCTCCCTCCGAAAGCTCTCCGCGCACTTCCCTTAAAAGAACCGTCGGTGGTCCTCCATGTCTCCACCCTCCTTCTAACATATAGAAAGAGTGGCCCAAATCAGGTTTTTTTTTCTAGGAGGAAAATGATGCAGAGCGATCAAGGACTAGGGATGGAGATGGCCGGGGGAGGAGGAGGAGAGTGTTCGTCGTCGGTCATGGCAGCGGCCGAGGAGGAGCAGCAGAGGGATCGACGCGCAGCTGGCGAATTCCCACCACCTGTTGCGGTCGTACGCAGCGCATCACCGCGCTATCCTCTCGCCTCAGGACAAACAGGAGCTCGACTCGTTCCTCGTGAGCGCTAACCATCAATTTTAAAAACTCTAAAGCTTTAATTTACTTGATTAATTTAGTTAGGGGATCATATCGAGTTTTTTTTTTTCTTTGTTGCTTTTTCCTCCCAACAGGCGCAGTATTTGTTTGTGCTGTGCTCGTTCCGCGAGCAGTTGCAGCAGCACGTCCGTATTCACGCCGTAGAAGCTGTGATGGCTTGCAGGGAGATCGAGCAGTCCTTCCAAGAAATCACTGGTAATAATTCGTCTTTTTCTTCTTCTTCTTCTTAGGTTTTGGCGTTGGGGTAATATAAATATTTTACATTTTTTAAAAAACAAAAAAAAGTTATAGCTAGGAGTGGTGCCTTCTTCTTCGTCCATGGACAGGGCAAAGGCAGCCGCTTTAATTATCTTTGTTGGGTCGCAGCTTTTGTTGGTGTTTTGTTTTTATGGGTTGTTGGTTGAGGAAGGATGGTGGATGGGGATGGGGCCCAATGGGATGTTAGTGTAGTTATGTTAGGTGGCAAGTAGGCGAAAGGGGAATGCTTGGTGAGCTTAAGCTCTCTTCTGGTTGCCAAAAGCCTTCCACTATCTATGGCAGCTGCTCTTTCTGGTGGTTGCCTTTTGCATTCCGTAAATTTTTTGAGGATCGATAGAGAACTTAATTACTTTCCTTTTACGTTGAAGCCGAGATAAATAAATAAATATATATATATATATCATCGTAATTGCTAAATTGTACTTTGTATTCTGTGTGTTGATGAGATTAATCCTTATGTAACTGCTAATGGACATCAATTTTTTATTTTGTAAGATAAAGTTATTAGGTAGGGAAAAAATAATTATAGCTCCCTCCTCACGCTTGCAACCGATCTATATATATATTATTAAACTTCTTACTGTCAGTTATAAATTTGGATCCCCTCTCTTATCGCTTCTTTTTTCAATTGGACAAGCCATTTTCTTATAATTGTCATATATTTTATTGACTTGTTTACAAATTAACGGTCAAACGTCAGCGACGTTATGTAGCATAGCTATGATCGATTTTCCACATAAATGATAGGGTGACAGATTAGTAGATGCTTAGTTATGTTTCAAGATTATATATTCTACCACAATTAGATTTTGTGAACCAAACATGTAGCGCTTCAAAGTTTTTATAGTCTTTTCAACACCTGCTATGTTTTTATAGGCTTGAGAAAGTTGGTTGGAATAATCTTTCTTATAACGACTATATATACACAATATCATATACTTCAGGAGAAAAAAATTCACCAAATAATGGTGAAAACGTTCACTAGTCTACAAATGATCGAGTTCACATAACTTAATGTTATCTTTTTTTTTTTTTGCAGGTGCGACTCTTGACGAAGGAACAGGAGCAACAATGTCAGACGACGAAGACGAGTTTCACCCGGAAATACCTCTTGACATGGGGTTCGATGGGAACGATATGATGGGATTCGGTCCTCTTCTTCCCACTGAATCCGAGCGATCCTTGATGGAGAGAGTCAGACAAGAGCTCAAGATTGAACTTAAACAGGTATGTATATACACTCTCATATTTTAATTACTCTTAGCCATTGACTAGTACATTTGATAAAATACCGTAAGCCTTTTTTCGATGTTTTTTTTAGGGATTTAGGTCGAGGATAGAAGATGTGAGAGAGGAGATACTAAGGAAGAGGAGGGCGGGAAAGTTGCCGGGAGATACCACCTCTGTGTTGAAGCAATGGTGGCTACAACATTCCAAGTGGCCGTACCCTACAGTAAGAAACATCATGCAACCCTAAGTTTACTTTTTTTATTTTTTGTGGATGCCATTTGCGTAGCATGGACTGATTTGAAATTAACTGCAAAGTTTTTTCACGTTTATGATGCAACCGCATAGTATGGGATGATTTAGAAGTATTGAAATAATATTATGTTTTTTATTTTACAGATGTTTTGAGATATTTAGATTATAACGAACGGAGAGCATTCATTGTAATAGTCTAATACATGCATTAAGAGGTGCATCTTTAAATTGAATTTAAGGTGACACCTTAGGATTCATTTTCTACATATACACGCACACACGTACATGTGTAAGAAAAATGAGTAAGCTTAATATCAAGTACAAATTGGTGCTTGGTAGCGATCTAATTTCATCCCATCCATACATTTAAATGTGTCTAATTAAAAATGGTCCCACTTGATTATCCACCCATTAAATTAGTGGATGAGAATTGGTCACAGCATTACCAAGCACCGAATTTGGTGCTTGGTACCAAACATACCTCTATTCATCACACAAGCACACTAGCATTATTGCACGTGCGACCGATATTAAAAATTGATTATTTTAATTTTATATAAACTGAGTCATTTTAATACCCTAAAATATCACAGATTTCTACAATCCTTTTATGATATTTTACTATTTCATATTCAATAGTTTATCTTACCTGATTTAAAATTAGTTATGAAATATATTTCTATTTGAGTAACAACATATTTTTCCTAGATATGTCATTAATAAATTAGCTATAAAAGTATCATAGATATTTCTATGATCTTCTTATAATATTTTTATCATTTAATATTCAATATTTTATTTCACCTTACTCGAAATTAACTATGAAATATATTCTATTTTGATTATAGAGGTAATTTTCCCAGATATGTCATTAAAAAGAGTCTATTTTTTCATATTTCATCTTTATACTAGTATATTTAATTAATTTAAAGCTAATTAGTTAGATATACACTTTCAATAATATACATATCAGAATATATTAAAATTCTAATTATTTTTTTGTATTTATTTATATGGAAAATAACTTTTTATTTTATTTTATTATCTTACCCTCATT